CTCTCTCGCTGTGTCTCTCTCTGTCAAATAAATAAATAAAATCTTTAAAAAAACATATTTAAAAACAGATTAGACTGTCCAGAGTATGGGAAGCCTTCTTGCACGAGGGTCTCCTTGTACTCAGATGAGGAAGCAACACTCCCACCCAGCACCCTCGGGACGGACAGGGCCCACGAGCAAGGCCAGAGGACCACCCTGAGCCCTCCTCCGGGAGGCAGAGCCCTCACCTCTGTGACAGATTCATCTCCTTGGCCACTCGCTGGGACATGGCCACGGCGGCCACTCGGCGGGGCTCCGTGATGCCGATGATGCTGTTGTCACTGGGGGAGGGAGAGCACAACACATCAGCAGTGTGCGGGCCCGCTCGTCCGTCCCAAAGTCACACGCAGGTCCATGTCAGGATTTGGGGTGTGGAGCGGCCCTCTCCAGGGGTGATGGGACGGGCACCAGACAAGCTGAACAGCAAAAGGGACCAGCCCGCCGGTCAGCACACAAACGCTTCGCTGGTCGCAGCCCAGCAGAAGCCAGGCAGCGGCTGCTAGAACTGGGCCTGGGGGGAGCAGGCCCTCAGCCAGCGGAGCACGTGCTTGTCCCGACACAGAACCTGCCAAGGGGACAGGGGCTGGATTCCAGGCCGTGCCGAAAACAGTTAATGCAGCAGGCCCACGGCTGCTCTCCTGAGAAAGGTCTGTGTACTGGGTTGGTGGTGGCTGGCGTGTGGGATCTGAATTTCGGGAGGACTCCCGGTCCTGTGCCTGGACTGTTTGTACAAACGATGTGGCTGATGCCGGACCATTTGCTTTCCTTGTGGGCATCTGGGACTTGGGGAGGTACCAGGCAGAGGGTGCCGAGGTGACCCCAACAAACACTCCGATGCTCCGTCTCTACTAGGCTTCCCTGGTGACAACTCCTCACACGTGTTGTCACAACTTGCTGCTTCCGTGTGACTCTCCCGGGAGAGGATTCTGGAAGGCTGTGCCTGGATCCCCCAGACTTCACCCCACGCGCCTCTCCCCTCTGCCAGCTGGGTTCTGTGCTCTTTTGCTCTAATAAATCACTCTCATGCATACAGCTACAGGCTGGGTCCCATGAGCCTTCCCAGCAAATCCATGAAGCTGGGTGGTCTTGGGGACCGATGACACACACGGGTCAAAAGTGCCAACAGGAGGTGACATTAGCGAATGCAGGGCCCCACATGCCAGGGACTGATGTAAGCGTTTCACACAAATTCCCTCATTCCGTCTACATGACCTGTGAAGTGGGTGCCATGGCTGTCCTCATCTCAGAGCTGAGGAAACGGAGGCCCAGAGAGGGTAAGCAGCTTGCCCAAGGCCACACAGCACACAAACGGCAGAGCCAGGACTAGATCCGTGGGGGCTCATGTTTGGAATAACTTCTGGGGATCGCACCTCCACTGTCCCGCGAGGGACCCGTGGAGGACCCTGCGGAGGACCCTGTGGCCAGCCCCCACCTGCTGTAGCCTGCTTCGTAGAGAAACTGTGGCACTTGCGTGGTCTTCCCGCTGCCGGTCTCCCCGCACACGATGACGATGGGGTGCTCGGCCACCGCCTCCATGATCACTTGTTCTTCAGCAAGAATGGGGAGCTTCAGCCGTTCTTCCTGGCGAAAGAGACGAAGTCAGTGCTCAGGGAAGGTGGGGGGGGGGAGTCCCCTGCAGAATGGCAGACGGCGTCAGCAGGACTACGAAGGGTGACGCAGTTTGTGGAAAGGTGCCTGTGGGCACACAGATGCCGTGAGCCTTCCTAGCAAGTCAATGACGCCCTGCCACAGGAGAACAGGTGAGCCCCTGACCGCTGAGGAGAGGGACAGAGGGCCATAGCCCGCAGGACACAGAGATGTGGGTGGGGGCCTTCAGTGTCCGAGCGGACGTTCTTGGGGGCGGCTTGGCCGGTGCAGAGGAGCCCCCCGACACAGCAGTCTCGGCTGTTGCGGGGAGCCAGGTGGGGTCATTTATATATGATCACTCCAGTAAATAACCTGGCGCTAATTTTATCCAAGTCAAGGATGTGCGACTTGGCAACTCCTCCCCTAGACACGTACTCCAGAGCAGTGACTTTAAGATTTATTTATTTGAGAGAGACAGCATGTGAGCGAGCACCTGCGTTAGGGAGGGGGAACAGAGGGAAAGGGACAAGCAGACTCCCTGCTGAGTGTGGAGCTTGATTCCATGACCTGAGCCGAAATCAAGAGTCAGGTGCTTAACCGACCGAGTCACCCAGGGACCCCAGAGCAGTGACTTTCAAACCCTTTTTCCTACATCCCACACACAGAACACATTTTGTGGTGACGCACTACATTCGTGTGCACAGACACGCACACGCATGTACAGCTGACCCTTCAACAACACAAAGTGGGTTTGAACTGCGCAGGTCTGCTTCCTTACGCACAGATATTTTCCCTATAAATAAAGTACAGGACTAGGGGCACCTGGCTGGCTGTCAGGAGAGCATCCGATGCTTGATCTCAGGGTCATGAGTTCGAGCCCACGTTGGGCATACAGGTTACTTTAAAAAAAAAAAAAAGTCCAGAACGATAGATGTGTTTTCTCTTCCTATGACTTCCTTAATAACATCTTTTCTCTAGCTTACTTTGTTGTAAAAATACGTTATACAATACATATAACGCACAAAACACTATTAATCAACTGTTTCATGTTTCTGATAAGGCTTCCGGTCAATGGGGCTATTTGCAGTTAAGTTTCTGGGGAAGTCAAAGTTGAATGTGGGTTTCTGACTGCGTGGGGAGTGCCCCTAACCCGTTCTGTTCAAGGTCAACTGTATCATATACTGAAAAAGTTTTAAGAATTACTGTTTACCTTCACTATGTGAAGCATGCTCACACGCTAATTAAAAAAAAAAATTCTACTCTATTTCTATTCTATTTGCTTCAAAAACAAAAAGTGCTGGTCATCTCATGACCAATGACAGCCGTGACCCTCAGTTTGCAAACACTGCCCAAGAGAAAATGTTGCACATGTAAGGAATACTTGCGAGAGAAGAATACTTGAACTGTGCTCTTTTCACACAGTGGAATACTACACAGCAGGGGGAAAAAATAAACCCCCCGAACAAATGAACTTCAGCTACATGCATCAACGTGGATAAATAAATCTCAGAAACAGAAAACTAACAAAAAAGCAAAACGCAGGGAAAAAAATGACATGTCCTTGATAAAACCAGGTAAACCTAAGTAATAAATAGCTCGGTAACATGTATGTGGAAAAAGCAGAGAGAGGGGACAATGCCGGGACGGGCAGCAGGGACACTTGATGGTGGAGCCCGGGTCCCTGAAGGATGGTGTGAAGCAGAATCCCACACCACCACCAGCCATCAGATGGCACTGGGCTCTGATTTCACCTAGAAGGAAATCTAGGGGCACCTGGGTGGCTCAGTCAGTTAAGCGTCTGACTCTTGGTTTCAGCTCCGGTCATGATCTCAGGGTCCTGGGATTGAGCCCCGCACATGGGGCTCTGCACTTGGTGGGGAGTCTGCTTGGGATTCTCCCTCTGCTCCTCCCCCCACTCGTGCTCTCTAAATAAAAATAAAATCTTTAAAAGATTCTCTCTCCCCCTCTCCCACCCCTGCTTGCAAACACTCTCTCAAAAAAAGTCAGTCAGCTTGCCCTAACTACACGTAAGCACATAAATTTACCTATAACTAACTGAAACCAATTTCAATAAATAGTATTTATTCTTACGTAGAACACTGCATGGATATCTTCGGTTCTTTTTTTTTTTTTTTCCGTTAAAAAAAAAAAAAGGAGCTGGTCACATCCCACGGGTTTCCACAATACAATCTGTGGTCTGAAACAGCCCCTCTTGGACCCAGGAGGCCGCCTGCCTCAGGGACTCGGCTCCGCGGTTCTAAGTGTGGGATAGTCCCTCTCCTTGGCTCCTGCTGGGCTCTTAGTGCTTGCCCTAGATGGCTTCCCAGGCCCTCCTGTTATCCCCCTTCACGGCCCCCAATCCTTTCCGATGCGGCTCGTCCCTGTTCACAACAGTGAGGGGTCCATGTCCGCATCCTCTGGTGGGCTGACAGCCGGAGGCTACAGATGATCGCACTCCCGGGGCCTGGCCCACAGCACACACTCGGGCATGGAGGTGGAGGCCCCCTGCGCCCCCCGTTATGCAGATGAAGAAAGGGAGGCCCAGGAATGGGCTAGAAAGTGGTGGAACCAGCTGTCCACTTCAGGTCAACAGACTCCACAGCCGCTGGCTCTCGTCTGGCCGAGTGGCCCCCTGGGCCAGGACCCACGGTCAGAGGCCAAGGGTGATGGTGAGCAGGTGAGGACCGAAGCAGCTGGCACCCACCTCAACAGACCTGGCCCTGTGCCGGGCCTGCAACAGGTGCACATACTCCTACGTCTCTCGTTTCCATGACAACCCTACCAGGTCGGTACAGCTGTTCCCATTCCAAGCGAGGCCGCTGGGGCACAGGAGGTGATGTGACCTGCTCGAATCAGGCATGCCCCCCCTTCCACACCCTCAGACCCCCACTGTGCTAGCCTGAGCTCCGATCACCAACACCAGAGCAGCAAACCTGCATTTCAGGGGTGCGGTTCACAGGAATGAAGACGGCAGGCTTCGCCGGGGGCCTGGCCAGGGTGGAGGCCACTGCTGGAGGTGCCGAGGTAGTCCCCGCCAGACAGGGTTGGCTACTGGGCCCTGGGCTCCCATTCCCTGCACCAGTCTCCACCAGCTCAGTGGCAGGGGCCTCATCGGGTTCAGACTCCACTGAGGACTCCGATTCCTCCTCTTCCTGGCGATAGCGCTTCCGGTGGGCCCCGCTGAGGCTGCTGATCTTCTCCTGTCCCTGGGCTTCGATCTTGTCAGACTTCCTGCTGGGACAGCCAAAAGTCAGGCACGAAAGTCCTACAATGGACCTGATGCAGCTCTGTGTTGCTATATACCCCACAGAAGTCAGGATCCAAAGGCCACACCCTTTCCCACCTCAGGGCCTTTGCACTTGCCATTCCTGCTCTCTGCACATACATTCTCCCTCACTTGACCCAAATGTCACCCAACAGGGAGACTCTCCCATTTCCCTCCACCCTCTTTCCCTGCTTTATTTTCTGCCTAGTGCCTGCCAGCACTAGATATAGACATAGTCATTTGATTATTGTCCATCTCCCCACCATTAGAATGTAAGCTTCTTAAGGGAAGCTTACTTATTATTTTACTCTTGTGCACCCCTCTACCCCCAGGACCTGGAGGAGAGCCTGGACCTAGTTTGCACCCACAGCAGCCATAAATGCACAATGCTTAAAGGAGAAGGCTAAGAGTAAGACAGCAGGGCGTGGGGCGGGTCTAGGGTGGGGGGGGGCACGTGGGCTCCATCTAAGGCTCAGCTGCCCTGCAGCAATGCCAGCTGGTGCGGCTCAAGACCAGGTGCGAACCCGGATTTTCATGTGACATCTACTTCTCGAATGTTGGTTGTTCTGGGTTGAACAGCGCCTCCCCAGAATTCATGTCCAGAAACTCAGAATATTACCCTTTTGGAAACAGGGTCTTTGCAGATGTAAGTAAGGTAAAATGAGGGCATCCTGGATCAGGGTGGGCCCTAAATCCAATGCCCGGTGTCCTCACAAGGAGAGAAAAGAGACACAGACCCAGACAGGAGAAGACCGAGGAAGACATGGAGATACGCCAGGAGACAAGCCAACTTCAGTGTCAGGTTGGCAAGGATGGAACGCCCAGGACTGCTGGAGACCACCAGGAGCCGGGAGAGAGGCAAGGAAGAAATTCTCCAGCTTCCAGAAAGGCCCAACCCTGACGGCTGGGGTTCTGGCCTTCAACACCACGAGAGGATACATTTCCCTTGTTTTAAGGCACCGGGTTTGCGGCGTTTTGTTGCGGGAGCCTGGATGAACACACTGGCGGAAGACCTGAATGCCTTCGTGACAGGATATAAACCCGACAAAGCCTGCTGATAGGCCAAACCTAATCCCTGACCGCCTGAAAGCAAATGCTGGCCTCCTCGCGTGTGCCAGAGCTGGAAACCTGTATCGCAGGACTCTGCATCGCAGGAACCCCCGACGTGGCTGGACCGAGAAACTCTGCAGCCCTGTGTGTCACCGGGGTTCTGGCAGTGTCCGGGCCTCCCCCCGCTGCCACTGCGCATGTCTGCTCCCCCCCGGGGCGCTGGCAGGAGGGCCTGGCGCACTCACTCTCTGCCGTGGTACATGCGGTCCCCAGTGCCCAGCTTGGACGTGGTGTAGAACAGTCTCAGCTCGGCTTCCGAAACCTGGACTTGGCTCAATTTCTGCAGCATCTCTGCTCGCTGGGGAAGGAAACGAGTGTGTCAGTCATCTGGCAGGACGACCCTCTCTTCGGAAAGGAAGCGAGACTCTACATCAGGTTTCAGCCTCGCTAACAACTAGTCTTTTTAACCCAAAGGTCACGTTACAAGTGCTGCGCGGCGGTCCTGCCTCCCCGTGAGCTGGGGGGGCTTTCTACCCCCAGACGGAGTCTGGCGCTGCATGAACCAGGCTGTCTCTGCATCACTGCGTGTCAGGAGGGATTATCCACCATCCAGATGCCCATCCGAGGGAGACCCAATAAAGGAGGGCCCATGTGTGTGATGCGGCGCTCCCCAGCTGTCTCACAGGGTAGGGGAGGCTCTGGTGTGCCGGTGAGGGGTCCCCACGCTGCCTTCAAGAGAGCAGCACGTGGGAGCAGGGACAGGTGGCCTCCTTCCCCTGGTGAGCGGGTCAGGAGTTTTATTACTCTTGAAATTATGTTTATGCACTTTTATACGTCTATGTATTCTGCAATCAATAAAAGGAAAAACCATGTACAGAACGGTGGGAAAAAATACAGCGCAGGATTTTAAAAGGACACCCTTGCGGCAAAGTGAGCCTCCCTGTGCCAAGGGCTCTAGGGCCTGAGTGTCGGGGCTGCGAACAGGGGACCCTGGGTGGTGGCCTCGACAGAAAGGCAAATGGGAATCCCATGAAGTCTCCAGATGGGGGTTCCTCGGTCTCTGTGCTGTAGGCACTGTGGGCCAGAGAACGTCCTGCTGTTCTGTGCGCTGTAGGCCGTGTGACAGCGTCTCACGCCTCCACCGGGTGTCTCCAGACGTGGCCAGCGGTCCTCTGGGGCAAAACTGTCCCGGCCGCGCACCACTGCCCCAGAGCCCGATACCATTTCCAGGAAATTTGGAAGGGCAAAGGAGAAAAATGTGTTTAAGTTTACCACAGAGATGAAGTTTTAAAAATGCAGACTATGGGAAACTCTAGAGACAACCAACCTAATTAACTTCAACAAATAAATGACTAGGGGGGAAAAACAAAAGAGGTGGGGTAGGGGAGCATTTATGAAACAACTGGAAATTCGACCATTTACTGGATATTTGATATTTTTTAAAAATTTAGGTGTACTAAATGGTCCTTATTTTAGAGATACAATTGTAAATATACATGGATAAAATATTATGCCTACGAGGTTGAATAGTGCCCCCCCCCGCAAGATATGCCATGTCCCAGAACGTGATCTTACTTGGAAAAAGGGTCTCTTCAGATGTAATTAAGTCAAAGATCTCAAGGTGAGATCCTGCATTATTCAGGTGGGTCCTAAATCCCAAGACAAGTGTCCTTATAAAACACACAGAGAGGGGACAGCCATGTGAAGACAGGGGCCAAGACTGGAGGGACGTGGCCAGAGGCCAAGAATGCCTGGGGCCACCCCAAGCTGGATGGTAGGAAGGTATATATTACTCAGGTCCTAGAGCCCTTGGCACAGGGAGGCTCACTTTGCCGCAAGGGTGTCCTTTTAAAATCCTGCGCTATATTTTTTCCCACCAGAGACAGCTGGGGAGCGCCACCACACAGGGAGCAGGGCCCTGCCCAACACCTTGATTTCAGACCCTTGGCCTCCAGAACTACAACAGAATACATCCCTGTTGTGAGCCACCCAGTTTGTGGTCCTCTCTTTCAGCAACTCCGGGACCCAAATACAGATTTATGCTACCCAGGCTTTGACCCAGGAGGTGGGAAAGTGGCCAGCTGTGGAGATGACCGGGGGACCGTGGGTTGACAGCTGCTGACCCTGGTGATAGGTACCAGTGAGCTCAGTGCATTAGGTTCTCCATTTCTGCAGATGCTGGAATTTCCCATTATAAAATGTATTCCTTAAAAAAGTATGGAGAAAGGTTGAAATTCTCCAGAATAAAGTCAAAAAATAAGTGACACAAGATGATTAGGACAAATAAAGAAGAAATGAGCATGCTGATGGGCTGACTCCCCAGTTAACGAACATCTGGCCTCAACAAACCTGGGTTCATCCACACTGACAGAACTCCTGGAGGGTCTGAAGGCTCTGGAGCTGAGTCAGGTATGGGGGCTGCTAGCCACAGGAAGCCATTCGAATTAAAATTAAATCACACAAAAAATTCAATTCCTCAACCATGCTAGCCACATGTGCCTAGTGACTACTATATGGGATTGTGCAGACACAAAGCATGCCCCTCATTCCGGAAAGTTCGGCCAGTCATGCGGCAGAGATCAAGTTGGGGGACACATACCTCGTCCCTCCCCAGTGTGGGGAGCTGTGTGCAGACCCTGTCAGAACAGGCCTACCTGGCTCTTTTTCTCCTTCTGTTCTAAGATTTTCTGCAGCATTTTCCGCTCTTTCTTGGTCAGAGGCTTCTTCTCCTTCTTTGACGGAGGAGGGGCTTTAGGCTTCTTTTTCTTCTTTCCCGGCAAAACGAGTGCATTACTTGCATCTACTCCTTTCAGCGTGTCTTTATCTGAAAAGACACACTTGCCTGAACCCCCAGCCCAGGGACCAGAGTCCACATTAATGCCATGTTCTCTGGGGCGGCTCCGTGCTACCTCTCATGGGCACCCTGCCCCATGTGTGAGACCCCCTGAATGCCCACACAGGAATGGGGGTGCAGGCCCGTCACTGTTCTCTCAACTTGTCTGCCCAGCACCCGCCACGTGTCAGACTCCTCCATGAGCCAGGGCACCTGCATCCTAGTGGTCAGGGGAGAGGGAGCCGGGTGCCAGTAGGGAGGGTACATGCTGCAACAGCGCTCCCTCAGAACGTGGTCCTGCTTTCGGGGGACGCCTGAGGTCAAAACTGTGCTCCCTGTGGACAGCGTCTGACTCCACTAGCCTCTGGCTTTGTCCGTCCTTGTGTCACAAAGTTAGGAGAGGCTGGCTGTCTCCTCCCACAAGCATCTAAGCTCAGCAGGGCAGAGATTAAAACGAAAAACAAAAACAAAAAAACGCCTGTTACGTCTCCTACAATAAACCCTGGCACACAGTGGGCGCTCCTACTAACGAGGGGGCGTCTGAGCAGAAGTGTTAAGCAGCCTGGAGCTGAGCAGAAATGTCTGGGCTAAAAAACATATTCAGGGGTCGCTGGCAATAAGATTATAATAGAAGCCAGAGAAATAGATGGGATTACTTTATTTTCTTGCGCACGATCCCCATGCTACTAAACTAGGGCTGGGGGCGCCTGGCTGGCTCGGTCGGAAGAGCGGGGATCTCTTGATCTCAGAGCTCGAGCCCCACGTTGGGCGTGGAGAGAACTTAAATAAAACTTAAAAAAAACTAGTGCCGGACTCCACAGGCGAGAAAGCCTCGGGATTGTCCCAAATTCACAGTTAAAACTAGACTGTCACTGTGTCCTACTCTTTGGATCATCTGAGGAGAGGAGGTTCCTCCTGGTCCCCCCGCCCCAGAGTCGCGGAGGCAGGGCGCAGGCCAGCCCGGGCCCAGGCTCCGGCCCGGAGGCCTTACCCTCTAGTTCCAGCCGCACGGGGGGCGGCTCCGGGGGGCCCTTCGAGGCGCCTGGGGTCGCCTGTAGGCGCCCCTTGACGTTGTAGCGCCGGCGCAGCTTCCCCATGACGCCCAGTACTGCCCGGGTTCCGGCGGGGCCGAGGCAGCCGCTCACCCCGAAGCCCAGCCCACGTGGTCTCTCAGACCCCAGGCTCAGGCCCCGAAACTTCCGGGATGCGTTCTCGCGAGAGCTGGGAATAACCGGGGCCTGGGGGCGGGCTTGGGGGCGGGGCCTGCGGAGGGCGGGGCGGGGCCAATTTAGAGGCGGGAGCGAAGCCTGAGGCCACAGGGGAGGCCTGAATTTAAGCCCTGAGTGGTTCGCACGTGGTGTGGCTGAGTCTCTAAATCTGGGTCATCTGCTAATACTAATTTAGTTACTTGGGAGTGGGACTGTTTTGTCACCTTTTGAAATATAACCCCGCCCCCATTGCAAACTTCTTCCCTCTTGTTTTTTGTTCATTTGCACTTTTTGATATTCCTATAAGAGACATAATTAGTTGTGTAGTAAAAAGGCACAAATGTTTCCATTACAGGGACAGAAGCACTAAAAGAAGAAAGCATCTAGTAGGCCAGGGCTTTAAACTCTCATTACCATATCACATTGTCTGTAGCGCACTCGGAAACAATGTATTTTCTGGATCCTGTAATTATCTTGCATATGGAACAGTTCTATTGGCAGCATTTTTTTTCTGTTAAAAGCATTAATTTGTTAAGGGCAGACATTTAAAATATATTACCAAAAAGAAAAAGGTGAAGGCATTAGGATTTTAGAATTTTAGAACCTAGAACGAGACCTGGCTGCAGAGTTGATAAGTAGTTATTGAATATAGGAAGGAATAAAGAATGTGATTGCATTATCTTCCCTCCTGCCCCAAAAAACAAAAGCAAAAACAAATCTCCACACACACACACAGGTGGTGCATGAGAGGATTTAGGTAGTGAATGTATGAACATGTTTGTAAAGATATATATTAAATGGATTTTGTGGGGGAAAACATAATTAGCATATCAAACCTCTGGTTCCGTAGGTTTTATAGCTTAGGATGATAGTGGTCTGCAGTTTTCCCCTTGAATATCTTTATTTAAATAAATAAAAAGTGTGCCCATTTTAAAATTAAGTAGGTAATAGTACATTCTCCTATATTTTCTCCTAAAATATTATATACCAAAGGATTATCTCCAGAAAATATAATGAGAAAGACCTCTCATAAATATGTTGAAAAAAGAAACCAATCACAAAAGAGCATACCGTGTGATCTCATGTACATCATGCTCAAAAACAGGCAAAATGAATTCCCTAAATTTTGGAGGGGAAATAGTGAGTGGGAGAGGACAAAGGGAGTTTTCCCCAGGGGCTGATAAATGGGCCTGGGTGCTGGTTACCTCATGTGTTGTTTGTTTAAACTCATAAAAAAGCACCTTATGATTTGGGTATTTTTCTGTTTGTACGCTATACTTCAGTAAAAAAAGTTTTCTTAAAAAATAAGAACTTACGGGGAGCCTGGGTGGCTCAGTTGGTTAAGCATCTGCCTTCAGCTCAGGTCATGGTCCCTGAGTCCTGGGATCAAGTCCGACATTGGGCTCCCTGCTCAGCAGGGAGCCTGCTTCCCCCTCTCACGCTCCCTCTAGTGCTCCCTCTCTGTCAAATAAATAAAATCTTAAAAAAAAAAAACCTTAAAATATGTGGTCAATAAATATATGAAAACTTCACCAGGAATCCAGAGGAAGTGTAAGTTCAAAAGTAAGATACAATTTTTCACTCTTTGGATTGGCAAAGGTTAAGTTTTATTTCCCTGGCCGTCTCAGAAAAAATGTCTGGTTGGTCACGGTTTGCTTTAGGCCCTTGTGTTGCATTTGGTTAATGATGGCTCTTCAGTCCTTTAAAATCAATCATCCTCCTTCACTTTTTATACCATTTACTTATTGAAGAAACTGGGTCGTCTGCCCTGTAGAAGGCTCCACGTTCTGGATTTGACTGGAGGCTTCTCCTCATTTACTCCTCCACCCCCCCTATTTCCTGTAAACTGTTGGGTTAGATGTAGAGGTTAGATGCGGTGAGGGTTCAAAGTGTTTTGGCAAGAATCCATCGTAAGTGGCTCAGGTCCTTCCTGCTAGTAGGGTAGGGCGCGCCCGGTCAGGACAGCGTGGCCTCTCCATTTTCAAGTCACCTTCTTGGTTTCAGTCTCTTGCTGCCCGGCTCCTGCATCCATCATTTCACGAACGGGGTGCAACATGATTCTCTAACTCTCTCGCGCCCTCCTTTTTTAACCAGCTGGACTTCATCTTCAGAAAACTTTCCCTCCTCACCTGTTCCGTGATGCTGAATTACAGTTCGTTCAGGAAGGGCAGGAGGGATGCTCGCTGCTTCCCCTTTATTTCCAAATTTCAGAATGGATGAATGGATGAGCTGGGGCCCTTGCCATCGCCAACGGTGGCCAAGGATTGGGGATCGTTATAAACTCCGTGACATGTTTGTATCTGGTTCTCCAATCAATTAAGGTCATTATCCTTGCTGAGGCCGTTGCAAGTTTTAGGGGCACGGGCTGCTTTTTACCGAAAAGTTAAAAATAAAAATTAGTATATATTTTTTAAAGGTTAACCTCCCCCCCACACACTCAGTGGGGGCGGGGAGACAAAGCAGCCTCCGGCCTCCGCGGCCCCTCGCAGGGACGTTGCCGGGGACGTTGGGGGGGTCGTTGGCCGGGACCCCGCGTCCGGGGGCGGGGCGAGGCGTGGGCAGGGCCGTCGCGGCTTTGCGCGCGGGGCGGGGCAGGTGGCGC